AACTTCCTGGTTGTGACATTGTATTATAGTTATACAAGATATGTTACCATCAGAGAAAACTGGGTGAAGGGTATATAAGATCTTTCTGTATTATTTCTTATGACTGCATGTGAATCTACAATGGTTTTAAAATGAAAAGTTTTAAAAACAAACTGGGGCAGTATTTTCATACAGTGGCTGGGGAAGGGTTCTATCTAATTTGGAAAGGTTAGGCCTAGAGTGATAGTCATCATAGTGGTTTACAGTAAGTTTCAGTTGTGAAAGTGAACATAAGGGCCATGATTGGGGGAACATTTTCTCCTTTAACGCTATCTAAAATACAGGGTAAAAAATGGAAAAATAGAGGAAGGCAAGAAGGGGAATCAATACCACGTAGTTCATTTCCTCCTGTTCAGGGCGCCCTCATACTTGGTAGTCTTAAGCATGTGAAAGGAAGAAAAGAAATGAGTGTTTGATATTACCTATTGCTGTCGAGTCAGTTCTGACTCATAGCAACTCTGTGTGTTACAGAGTTGAACTGAACTCCATAGGGTTTTCTTGGCTGTAATCTTTACGGAAACAGATCACCAGGCCTTTTTTCCGAGGCACTGCTGAGTAGGTTCGAACTGTCAACCTTTCTGTTAGTATCAAGAGCTTAACCGTTTGCACCACCAGGGACTTTGTCTGATATTACTAGGTCTAAGAATGTTGTCTTACTTGTCCCCTTAAAGACGCCAAAGGTCAGGCATAGAATTTATTTTTATCATCTTCTGGGAGGAAAAGGCAGCTTTTCTATTCTCTCTCTCCCTCCATATATATATATATGTGTATATATATAAGTGTGTGTGTATATATATATATGTATGTATGTATGTATACACACCCACATATATATCTCATTCACTTTGTTGACAGGTGACAACCTTGAAGGCTATTGTAGTAAAAACAAATTAATGATCCTTAAAATTTGATTCTACAGCAAACAGTTCTTCAAAGAATTTGCAGCATATTGCCAACATTATTCTTTTGCCTACTCTCATCTTTTTTTTTATTCTAAGTATTCTACTAGTTTTGTTTTTAGGTGACTAATAGTAATGATCTCACTGTAAGAACTTAGATTTCATTTGAGAATATCTTTACAAAACTATTTCATTCTGGTGGGAAGATAAAGCCTGTTGCCTTAAAACTTCTAGTCAAATAGTTTTCAAAGCTTAGTTTCCATTATCCACTAAAATTTTTGGAGCAATCTGCTCACGTGACCATGTAAACACTCAATATTTATTAAGTATATTAACCGACTTTTCCAATTTCGGTAACCCTGGTGTTCACTTACATTTACATAGTAGCATGCTCAATCAATGTTTTCCTCTCATTTGACAAAGGTTGAGTAAGTTTATTGTCTGTAAACGTTCAATCATTTTCCATTCAGTGAAATATTTTGCACCTGGGGCCTTGCTGGGTGGGTTCCAACCACCAACCTTTAGGTTAGTTGATGAGCAGAAACCATTGGCACCACAGAGATATATGAATATTTTTTCTCTATTTATTTATTTATTCATTCATTCATTTATCTCTTTATTCTCTCATCTTATCTTTGATTTGTAATGATAGATTTTTAACCTCCCAGATCCTGGCTTTGTTTCCAACACATGACATCACATGACACGCCACAGGGACAGTCAATCAAGTACAATGGATCGTGCAGATTTCCACACTGTATTTTCTCACTTCAAGTATTCTTTGTAAAAAATGTTCCACTCTTCGTCTTATGATTCGAGTTGATCAATATATATATTAGTTTGTAAACTATTCCTTGCCTATTTTAAAAAGCAGGTAAGGTGGCTTACCATAAGATCAATATAAAACATCTTTATTTTCTATGGAAACCATAGTCTTATGCTGTTTTTCCACTTAACTTTCATATCTTTTTTTTTTTTTTTTAAATGAAGACCTCCCTACACCCTGAGTTTATTCCATACTGTTTTGAACTACAGACTTTACCAATCTACTGGGTCTTGACTTGTGTTTTCCTTATGATTTGACCTGTATAAATTTCCTCTTCAGTTACAGCTTGCATTCCTGAGGAGGAGAGACCATGTCTTTCTTTGATTTAGGCAGCACCTATCAAAGCCCTTGATATGGATTTATTTTATATAATTGACTGTTTCCCTACTGGGCCAATAATGAACTATGTTCTTTCTACAGCCTATATGCGTCATGTTTTTAAGTAAAGTGTTTCAGGGTATACATGAATTCTCTCAAGCTACAAATAAATGTATTGTCTTTACTTTTAAAGAAGGAAACTTTCACCAGGGGTGGTTGGTTACCAGATTTCCCAGGAATTTTTGTCCTAACATTTACTTAACACTTTACATTGTCTTGTGGTAGCCTCACAACAACCCTAGAGGTAGGTTTTGTTTTGTTTTGCTTTTGTTTTCTTTTGCTTCTGAGAAAATTAAACCCCTGGGAGCTTGCTTGGCCCAAATGTGCTGGTTGGTAAAGAGGCAGGACTTGAATTCAGTTCTTCTTACTCTAAGGTTAATGTCCTTCAATCAACCACATCTGGCCCATGAGAAGCTGCTATAGAATCAAGCCTAAGACCAGAGTCAAAACCCCAGACTGAGCTACTTGTTGCTCCTACTGCCTCCTGGAAGTATGGGACATGGATGTGAAATAGAAGCCATCAGCACTAAACTAACTACTTTCGGTTTCTTGGGCAGTTACTCTCCTATCCATGGGCTAAATAGTCACACCCCTTAGATTAAATTGAGCACCTCTGGAAGTCATTGTGCTGCTTCAGGGACCAAGATGGCTGGGGAATGGGAGGGTGGTGTAGTATAAGCAGAGTTTAAACACTGGAAAAACCTGTCTTCACTCATTGCCAAGTTACATGGTTGCTTCAGTCCCAAGTCTGTACGCTTAGATTGTAAATACCTTGAGAGCTGCAAGAATGTCTTCTTCTATTTAATATTTCCTAGAGTCTAACATAGTGCCTGGTACATAGTAACAATACTTGCTGGGGAAAAATTAGTTTTTACATAAAATATAGCATTGTTCCATCTTCACTTTAAAGTTCTAGAATGTCATATGAGAATGTATGCACTTTAAAGATGTTATAATGTCTCTTTTTAAATATCTTGATGTTTGGACTCAATACGGTCTTTTATAAACTCACAGAATTCACGGGTTCTGCCCCTGAACTCAGAAAGGTCTATGTTAAGTCACACCAGATTGAATCAAGATGTTGTCAGTTATGCAAGACACAGCAAAAAGAACATTCTCAGGTTTACACAAGGCTTAGTAAAAGACTTAAAATAAGAATCATCATATTTAACTTTCCAGGTTTAGCAGGAATTAAAACACTGGGTCAAAATGTATCAGTTCATAAGTTTTAATATCCATATTATATCAAGCCTACCACATGTCTGTCAGTTTGTCATACTGTGGTGGCTTGTGTGTTGCTTTAATGCTAGAAGCTATGCCAACGGTATTTCAGATACTAGCAGGTTCACCCATGGTGGACAGGTTTCATCGGAGCTTCCAGACTAAGAGTAGGAAGAAAGACCTGGCAATCTACTTCTGAAAATTAGCCAGTGAAAACCCTATGGATCACAACAGAATATTGTCTGATATAGTGCTGGAACATCTCCCTAGGATGGAAGGCAGTCAAAATACACAGTGGCAGCAACAGTGAACTCAGCATACCAGTGACCTTGAAGATGGCGCCAGACTGGGTAACATTTTGTTCTGTTATATGTGGCTTGCCATGGGTCAGAGCCAACTTGATGGCAGCTGACATTATGTCAAGCAAAAGCCAAAAAAAAAAAACTGAACCCATTGCCGTCAAGTTGATTCCAACTCATAGCGACCCTATAGGCTGAGTAGAACTGGCCCATAGAGTTTACAGGGAGTGCCTGGTGGCTTCAAACTGCCAAGCTTTTGGTTAGCAGCCATAGCTCTTAACCACTATGCCACCAGGGTTTCCTTATGTCAAGTAGTCTCTTGTAAATCACATAAAACCCAAATTTTGTAAGATATCACAATGGCCTCATTGAAATTATTTCCCAAATATTTAAGAAAATAAAGACTAGTATCACCCAGCCTCTAACACTTAAACACTGTCAGCTGCCTGATACAGGCAGTAACACACTGGGCACATTTACGTCCTTCTTCACACTGGCTCTCTCTCCCAAACCCCATCAAATGACTTTCACTAATTCTTTCTTAGAAAATGTGCAAAAAGGATTTCCATAGAGGTCTTTGGGGATTTCTCGTGTCCTCATGTGTGTGATAGGTTGGGTCAAGTAACAATGAAGGAATAAGAAAGAATGGGGTCTTTGTTTTTATGTATTTTTCTTCTTCTGGCCATTAGAAGGGGAAAAAAAAGTGAAAAGGAACATTACACCATATAGATGATGTCAGTATTAAATTATATTAAAAACATATGTTTGGCTGTGGCAGCTGTAATCTTTTGATTATTGAAGAGATTGTTGGTAACAAAGTACACTTGTAAGAAATATTTTTAGTGTATACTGTTTACATGTACAAACTGTGAGATATGCATCTAATAAAATGATGGATTTAGAAATTGCCTGACACCTAAATTCATGCTTTTCAAACAGCTATTTATAGTAATAAAAGTGATAATTAAGCTATGATAGTGGAATATTATAATCTGCCTTATATTACCTTAGATAATAGTCTCATACTTTAAAATAATGTTGTAAACCATTCAATTATTTATTCACACCTAAGTTATATAAACTGGAAGATTTGGGATTGTGCAGGAAAAGAATTATTTGTACCAAAGTAAGACCTCACTGTCATGGCTTAAAGAGATTGCTGTGAAACAAGCTATACTATAGATAAAAATAAACCAAACCAGCATGAATTTTTAATAAACAAAAGAATTTTTATGGAGACATTAAAAACCACTATTAATTTTAATCTTCTCCTATGAAACGAAGCATCAGTGTGTCTGGTGATGCTATATGTTTCATACATATTTCTCCTTCTGATAGGTCCTCAACACTTATGGTAAAATCTCCACAGACCTGGACGATGATCTCAGTCTGGGGAGAGCCTATGAAGCAACAGCCAAGGTGCTGCAGAGGTAAGCTAGCACATCCTTGTCTTGCTGTCACTGTGAACTCGCTCAACTGTGAAAGACTTAAATTGTTTGAGGTCTGTCGCGTCCCATTACTGCCTGCTTAAATTTTAAGCAGCGACCTTCTTAAGTGACCCTTTCATTGTCAGTTATTTTAAACCAACATGGTGCTGTAAAATATGCATCTAAAGTCTTCTTTGTCTGTTCCTCCCTTGTATGATTTTTCTTTTTGGCCTTCTGTAAGTTTAGTGGTGACCTTGAATAAAAGGGAAAAAAACCAGGTCACCTCTCGCAGGTTGAAAAAGCAGAGAGCACAGAACTATATAGTACACTTCAGTGACTGTGGCTCGCCATAACCTTTCCAGGTCTCTTCTTTGAGAAAAGTTTCCATTTATGGTTCAGTCGTCCTTCTTCCATTAAGACGTCTGTCCTGTAAGCATATCTGGATAAACAATTGGGCACAAAAACAATATTCCCATGATATCATTTACAAGAGAAAATTTTTTTTAAGTATACATGAAAAACTTCAGATACATATTTTTTCATGGTAGATGTATGACCTGCCTTTCACACATTGTATGGTGATTTTTGTGTACTCCATTTAATGGTTGCATGACACAGTAGCATTATGATTAAGCCAAGATAGAATAAAGTTGAAAAGTGCTTGAAGGTAAACCCATTGCTGTCAAGTCAATACCGACTCGTAGCAACCCTATATGTCAGAGTAGAACTGCCCCATAGGGTTTCCAAGGCTGTAAATCTTTACTGAAGCAGACTGCCACATCTTTCTCCCTTGGAACAGCTGGTGGATTCTGAACTGCTGACCTTTCGGTTAGCAGTCGAGCGCTTAACCACTGCACCACCAGGGTTCCTATTCTTGAAGGTAAGGCCTTAGTTTTTATGTTATCCTGACATATGCAAGATATAGCTTTTTAAAAATGACAACAACAATATCAATGATAAAAACAAATAATAATAGATATAAATTGTATTAACCCTAAATTTTAATTTCTTCCCATTTGTAGTTCAGTTGTAAATAACATACAGATTATTCCTTTAAAATGTAACGTTGTTATCTGAAAGACATTTAAAACATTAAATGCCCAGTAAACCAAAAGTGAAATCATCCTTATATAAGTACCACTGTTAGACACTCTGGTGGTGTAGTGGGTAAGCACTACGGCTGCTAACCAGAAGGTCAGCAGTTCAAATCCACCAGGCACTCCTTGGAAACTCTATGGGGCAGTTCTACCCTGTCCTATAGGGTCACTATGTGTTGGAATCGACTCGACGGCAACGAGTTATGGGTCAATATACTAGAGCAGCTGGTGGGTTCAAATAGTTGACCTTTCGGTTAACAGCTAGCTTTTAACCACTGTGCCACCAGGGATCCTTGGCAAACCTATGAAGACACTAAAAAGACCAATGGTTGCCAGGGTGAGGGGAGAAGGGGAGAAGGATGAGTAGGTGTAGCACAGGACATTTTAAGGACAGTGAAACTATTCTGCGTGATACTGTAAATGGTGGGTACATGACATTGTGCATCTGTCGAAACTCATGGAATGTAGAAACGGTGTATGTTTTGCTGTGTATATTCTCAACAACACCACAAAAATAAATTTTTTAAAAAATTAAATGCACACACACACCCACAAAGAGTGAAGACTTGGGAGTCAAACAAAGCTGGCCCAAGCCCCAGGTCTGTCCCTTCTTGTGTAATTGTGAGCAATTACCCTGTTTTCTGGTCTCGATTGTTGTTGTTGTTGCCATTAAAAAAACAAAAAAAAACCATAGGCCCTACAACACAAAAGTAAACCCTAATGTAAACGATGGACTTTAGTTAATAATAATGTATCAACATTGGTTCATCAAACCAATGTTTATAACATAATTTTTATGAAATGACATTTCAATTTTGTCCCAACATAACTAAAGAGATAAACTCTAGGGAAATTTTTTTTTCTTTCATAAACTTTTATTGAGCAGTGTTATGGATTGAATTGTGTCCCCCAAAAATATCTGTCAACTTGGCTGGGTCATGTTTCCCAGTATTTTATGATCGCGTACCATTTTGTAATCTGATGTGATTTCCTTATGTGTTGTAAATGCAATCACTATGATCTAATAAGATGGATTAGCAGCAATTATACTGATGAGGTATACAAGATTGGATAGTGTCTTAAGCCAATCTCTTTTGAGATATAAAAGAGAGAAGCGAGCAGAGACACATGGGAACCTCATACCGCCAAGAAAGCAGTGCTGGGAGCAGAGCGTGTCCTTTGGACCTGAGGTTCCTGCGCAGAGAAGCTCCCAGACCAACAGAAGCCTGATGACATGGACTTTCCTCCAGAGCTGACAGAGAAAGCCTTCTCCTGAAGCTGATGCCCTGAATTTGGACTTGTAGCCTACTAGACTGTGAGAGAATAAATTTCTCTTTGTTAAAGCCATCCACTTGTGGTATTTCTGTTATAGCAGCACTAGATGACTAAGACAAGCACCTACTATGTCACAGGACAAGTGTTGGAATGCCCCTTTGGTTATTGAAGGGTGAATGTCATTCTTCCCGTGTGCCAGGACTCTGTAATTAGGGAATAGTGTCCCACTAAACAAAACACTCTAGAGATTTAAATTTAAGTACCTGTAGAATGATGTTTCACACAAAGGGGTAGTCACCATCGTGTACTGGTACGAAATTCACTGCCAAATGCAATTCATGGCCTTTGTAATTATTTTTGAAACTTTCGGAGACATAAGGTTGTCTTTGAAGGATTCTCACCTGTTCAACTTTGTGTGTCATCCGGAATATTTTAGCCTCTGCCCCAGGATCTGAATTCCTGGTCTAAACAGTCAAAACTAAGGGGAGCGTCGAACAGCTATCTGGTAAGCTTTGGCAATGAATACAGACAACCTAATATTTCAGTTTTGCTCATTAAGTATTATGTAGGGTTTAGGAGTGGGATAGGATACAGCTGTTTGAACACTTTCAACAGTCTAGGCAAACATATAATGGAGCAAATGAAATAAATTCCACTTATACGAATTCCCATTTACTAAAATACCACCAATGATTTGTATAGTAGGCATGGGTTCTTAATTTGATAATGTTATGCGATGCCTAAGAGAGTGCAGGACATGCTTCTTCTGAGGTCACAGGGAAAACTTATCCCAAAACCCCAGCAAGCTTTCCAGTCCAAATCTGCCATTGTGCAGTGTTGTGGGTCATGGGGAGCACTCGGAGGAGTATCAGACCTCAGGATATTCTTTCACCATCAGTGGAAAATAACTCAGGAGTGCGATCAATTAACTGCAGCCATATGGTTCAAAACCAAAAATTCTCATCAGGTAGGCAGTAACACCCTGGGTGTCTGCACAGCCTGGTTAAATCAAGTACGCTAAATACTCAAAATGTTTTGATATAAATTAGTGGTCATTTTTAGAAAATTTCATTTCAAAATCTTAATGTTCTTTGAGATATATATGTATAAACTATCTTTCTTGGCTTAGCAAGCAATGTGCAAGAAATGGAACCCAGCCAAAATAGAGGAAATTATGGTGGTGGCAGCTGAGAAATAAATCAAGCTGCATATGAAGCTAGCATCACCTCTAAATCTCTTTTTCTTAACCTGTGCAATTGCACAAGTTTCACTAATGGTAGCCTTGTCTCTATAAACATATTTTATCTCTTTAAAGGAAATGGAGGTGGATAGCCATGTCTAGGATAAGTGTGTGTCTAACGCCATCAGCTGAGTGTGCATGAAAGGTGAATAAGCTCTAAGGCTGGAAGCTTCTCAAATGGTTATAAGAATTTATACTGAGCCTTCAACTGAAAACATGCCACACTCTTTCAAGACTGGGGACACAATAATATAGAGTTGCCCGTTTGGTAGTACTAGTCCTGGCCCGGTGTTAGAAGAGTTATTGATGAAGGCTTTAATGATTAACAGGTTTGTTGTTTTTGATATCTGTATGAATAATATTAATTATACACGATCTTAAGCAGCATAACAAAAAATAAACATTTATACTGTATTCCTCCCCCACTTAGAATACTAGTGAAAATTTGATATTCTAAAATGATCACAATTGCCTTATGACAGCTGTAAAAGCCCAGAATTTTCTCAAACAGAATAGTGGTCCATAAAACAAAGATAAACTGAGTTGAGAAATTGCCAAGTAAATATTACTGGTGTATAATCATTTAATATGAGTAATTAGAAAGGAAAAAAAATCTTCTATTTTTCTGACAGCATTTGTTTTTTTTTTTTTTTTTTTTTGCCTCATTTACTGAAATAACTATCACAACTCTCCAACATAATCATAATTATTTTTTAAAAGAACCTAGTGGGTAAAAATCACAGAAATGAGAGCTGTTCAATACACACTGGTCACAACTAGCCCATCTCTGGGTTTATCCCATACCAATTGTAAATTTTCTTGCGAACTAGAGTTAAATTATTTCCTGGAAAACTTTCCACAGTGGAGATCTTTAAATCAATCAGTACAAAGTTTGAAGTGTGAAAATTACCTTTCTGTTATAGCTGAAAATTAATTTCTTCTTGCTTGAGAGGAATGGCACGCCCTGGTAATTTTCATATATTCTTTAAAATGGAACATCAAGCCTTTGATGTGAAATTTCCTAAAAATGACTCCCCCCAAAAAAAATACATCAAAATGTTTCTATTAATTCATGAAATTAAGAATCGCTTCTTACATTTTCTCCTGTCAGTGATTCCATTTGCCTTATTACTTTCATCTGTGGCCCACAAACTTGGTGGCACAATCAACAAACCCCTTGGTGGCTGTTTCATCTCTGCTCTATTTGATTTCTTCTCTCTGAGTAAATGATTAAGTTTTCATGCATTGGTTCAACCAAAATCTATGTTCACTCAACCACATCCTTTATTGATTACTTCTACTGCAAACAGTAGGCCAAGTGTGATACACGTAATTGGACAGTTGTCAAGGGATGTGGGTGTTAACAGTCCCATTTTCCCAGCTGGAAGCTG